TATTAAAATCACGGTACAATAGAAAAATAAACATTTTCACGTATATCCTTGAAACACATTGTAACTCACGGCCACAAAATAAGTAGTGGTTTTAGTTCACAAGTTGTATATCTTGGAAGTATTTGCAATTACTGTGCCAATAGAGTTAGGCTGCAGAAATACTGTTCTGTAGTAGGTTCTGATTCAGTGCAAAGCACCTGAAGTAGAAATAATACCACAAATGTAAGCAGAGTGAAATAGTCCTATTCAAGCAGCTACAGTGTGGGCTTTTTTTTGAAGTCAAGGGCTTTTAGTGTCTGTCTAAACCAACTTCCACCCGAAGTCAGCACTTCCCTCTGCAGCTCTACTGGTCCCAGTGCTTGCACTATCCCCAGTTGCTTAACATGGCTGCTCAGGAGCTTGGAGTACATTCTTCATATTCAAATTCAACTTCGGGCTTATAGCTGCCTTCAAAAATTGTACCGAAGGGAAAGACTAACCACTGCAGGTAACAAATACGGATGTATAGGCTTGAAAAATAATGAGCACATCACAAAAATAAGTAATACCTGTGTTAAGACATCACTCTTTATTAATATTTTTGTTCTGGATCAATCTGAAGAAAAAAACTAGTGACAAGGGGTGGAAAAAAAAAATTCCGGAAAGGCAATTAGCAGGTTTTTTGCCTCCAGGCACCTCCATGGCCAGTGTGTTTAGCTGCTACAGACCGGACGCTCCAGGTAGGACAATCTGTGGGTGGCAGTGGGGAAGAACAGTCCCTTTCCATGGTGGCTTCTGCCCAGGTCTCAGCAGGACATGTGCTTGCTGGCATCCAGACAGACTGAGTTGGGCAGCCAGAGCAGCCACAGCAGCAGTGCCTGCTCCCTGGGTCTCCTGCCACTTGGCTGGGTGCCCAGAGTTCTGTGTGTGTCCATCCTCCTTGTCCTTCCTCATCAAGGAAGATGAGGATGCCAGGCTCAGGAGAACTTGGCACAGCCCTGGGGCTTTAGTCTATGGGCCCACACTACAGGATCAAACCTTTAGCTTCTGTCCTGTGTGAATAGGAAGGCAACAGGATGCTCTGCGGCATTCACTTGTGGGCCGTCAGCCATAGCAACAGCCCTGCAGCTTCCCATAGCCACCACCCACAGGGTTGTAGGGGAAGTCAGGTTGGGAGGCAGCTTGCCAGGGCATCTAGTGCAACCTCCTACTGAAAGCAGGACTTCTGGTTCCCTGTGTCTGGTCCTTAATTCATTAACCTGGTTTCATATAAACTGGATTAAAATACAAAATCCATGGTGCCGTGTTACAAAAATGTACAACTGACAGCAGCTCATGTGTAGGTTTCATACTTACTTTGAGTTAAAGATTACCATATGCAAGAGTTAATGGGCATAAATGAGAAAAAAATTAATCCTATGAGTTGGAAGAAGCAAAATATAGCTAATGAATAATGATTTGTTTTGGCATGGATCATTGTAGAACACTTTGGCAAAACTTAAGCTCTAAATAACTACTTACTTCAAAGCTTTTGGTGTGTTCGGTGAAGGATTTGTAGTTATTAAAAGATTCCCAAATATACCCAGAGAAAAAATAGGTTAAAAGCATAACCATAAAACCATAGAAGGTTTAATCTCATTTGCTAGTTGAAAGCTAATACAACACAAGTGAAGGTGGAACTTCAGGTGGTCTTCCTCTAGTGAGACAATGAACTGAATCTCATTCCTAGTTAACAAAACACACCCCCTCATCATCACTGATTATTAATTAACAGCCCAAAGGCTGTAGCTGAGATTGAGTTCACTTTGCATATTGGACAAATCAAAAGGAAACTCCAGGTGAGTGGCTTAGGAAAGGCTTCTTTGACAACACCCATCACAGAGGATTATAGATAAACACAGGGATCACCTTGGGCCTTTAAGGTTGGTGGACTGTCTTCCACAAATACACAGTAAGGGTAAGTGCCAAAAGACAAATATATAACAACAGCCTTGCAAGTCCCCCAGGAGGTAATGGCTCCAGCCATCACACTGCCTGGAAAGGAGCTGCTTGGGTTCATCCAAGCGGTGTCCAACAGGCACCATTCTGCCACGTTGCAGGTAAAAAGCAATCACATAGGAGGAGGTACGGATTTAACGTGATTTTGCAGTGGTTCTGACTACTCCACGCAGCAATGCTTAAAAGAAGATCAGGAGCTTTACATGAGATTGTGAGGCTCAGCTTCAAGTTCCAGCTGGATTTGGAGGAGGCTGTGGCACGTGTACAGCATGTACACAGGAGTAGGTGTACAGCAAAGAGTTGCATCGGAGCAGGATGCAGTTTGAGGTGCTGGCTCTGCAGATCATGGGATCCGAAAGATGGAAAACAAACTGTGTAAAATGTGTTTAATGATCCTTCTCGGTGTTTGGCGGGAGGCTCCCATACACTTCCGTGAAGTGAAGATGCTGAGTGCAGCTGCCTGCTGTGGCTGATCACCAGTCAGAGCCATCTTCATTAAATGAAGTATCAGAACAGACCTCAGTAATCAACTGGCCAATTGCACAGTCCTCTTCAGCAAGGCAAAGTGAAACACAGAGCTTTTAACAGGTTCATGAGGAAAGCAGAAAAACACTGCAGGTGTCCAAGACTCAAAAGACTGCAGGAAAGACAATACAACAGGGGCAGTGCTGTCCAGAAGGTGGGTCTCCCCGGCAGGGCATCCATCCAGCTGTGGGTCTCTCCTGCATCATGCCCAGCATGCTGCAGCTGGACCTATAGAACGCTGTTCGATTTCATACACACTGTAATAGTGAGCCAACTTTGCCATATTAGAGAGACATATTGCAAAACAACTGTAAGGAACTCCATAAGGACCAACCTGGGTGTGCGGCTTCACATTCTGCTGTGGCTGCTCAAGATCTCTTTTCAGAAATGAATTAGTAGAACGTTTTATTTCCTAACTGAAAGAAAAATGAGGAATAGACCATGAAATGCCAGGAAATGAAGATGATTTTAAACCTACAGAAGCAGATTCAGAGAATATCCTATTTTTATGCTCAGTCTCCATTTAATTCATCTGCCATTCCAAACAAGACATGCCTCAGTTGAATGAAGTCTCAAGTAATCACGTAATAGGAGAAGTAATTTATTGTGAATCAGGCTCATTCTCCAGTGATATAAATAGGCTGTGCTGTTCCAGTCTTTTGTCAGTAGGGATTAATTAGCAATTGACCCTTGGCTGGAATGTCTTCACTACCTCTACATTTTTCATCTTATAGGGCTGAATGAGAGCTTAACACTGCTTTAAGAAGCTATGCTTCCTAAGCAGTAGTTTAATTTCTCTCTAGGCTACAAATCAGTAGTTTAATTTATCACTAGGTTACATATCAACAGTGAATAGTCAGGGTGGAATTGAGTTTATTACAAATATGTTCTGCTAGAAGACACAGTATTACAGTGATTGAACCATGCTGTTAAATTTGCTATTAATGCCCAATTATGCATATGAACACTGAGAACCACACTTTACATACTTTACATTCAGCTTTCTAATAAATAAGTTCAATAAATAGGGAGTTTGCAGATTAAGAAGCTGTACATGTGAACACTAGCTGCTTTACAATGTTGTCAAGAAAATAACCAGAGCTATTCTTGTTTGTTACCAATCACTGGAAATTAGTAAGTAAAATGTAAATGTTTTACTCTTAATATGAAGACTGGAGGAACAAAGATCTGTTAAAATCACTCTTAGGATTACACAGAACTTAAATTTTGTACACTAAATTTATAATTCAGAGCATGCTGCACACAATATTTTAAAATACATTTCTTAGAAATAAGAGAAATGAGTAAGACTGCCCATGTAAGACTTCGACGTCTGTGCTCTGACCACTAGCTCTTGTGTTACACAATATTGCAGTTTTGCTAATTTTGGATGACCTATTCCACACTGGGAGAAGATATACAATGAAGGGCCAGATTTAGTCTACAGTACATTGCAACATCTTGTTAATACAGTGATTTATTTGTCACAGTACAAAAAAATTAATTTGCGACTATTTTTTATATATCTATAATATAATCCATTTATATTATCCATTTTAATAACTATTTTCTTGGGAAACAACTCTTATGTTATCTCTAAAGATTGCCAGGAACAGAAATACTCTTGTACCAAATGAAAACGCAGGCAACTCAAGCGACTGTAGTTTTACTGCTCCAAAGGTACAGTTATTTTCAGCACACACATTTCTCACATTTTACCCGTAAAGACCTCCAGCAAGGCTCCCAACACCAGCAGTCAGGTGCTCGCGCTGCAGTGAGCTGTTGGTCAGCCTGTGCAAAAGGCGGCTTGCCCCGGCTCCACAGAGCTCGCCTGTCACTCCCCAGGCGAGCCCAGTCCATGCTCAGCCCTGTCCTGCAGCTCCTTCGCTGACAACGCGCCAGTTTTCCTCAGCACAGAAGGCAGGATCGGACCATCAGCTGCTCAGAACCAAATCACCTCCCCACGCGTTTGCACACCGACATCTGTTCACAAAACACAACACTGTGCACGTGCGAAGCAGGTGCCTGCCTGCACCAGCTCCTAGCGAGACCTCTTAACTGTCAGCCAGTGGCCAAGGTGTCAGTTCACCTGGAAGCCAATTTGCCTTTAAGGGTGGTCCAGATTTTTCATTAACAACCATCGCAATCTGAAAGCATAATCATGCACACATCAGTAAGCCTACCTTTTGTAAAACACCGGCACTCAAAGGAGACTGAATCAGAAATTCCACCGAACTACCAAATAATTATCAACACTAGATGAAGAAATAATAAAACTATAAAGGTGAGATAACTGCATCGTGACTTTGATTTAAATACTTGTTTACAATGGCAAGTGAGCGGAAGGTTAGGTATGTGGACTGAGCCTCAGAAGAGAAGAGATACTGCTCGTTCTTATTTTTATTTCCTATTTTTAAAGAGAGGCTGATTGAGAGCATTTTTTGAAGGTGGGAGACTAAGTCATTAAAACAGAAGCACTTGGATTGCTTTCTTCTTGTAGGGGATTTACTTCATTTTACTTTATCTGACACAAGTCAGAAAGAAATGAGAATATCGTAAGGAGAAGGAAAAGCAGAAATTTGACAGGTTATTTTCCATTGTAATTCCTCCACTGATTTTGTTAAGCTTTTTCTAAGATCAGATAATGCGGCTTTACCTAAAACAACTTTAAGAGACTGGTAAAATTTTCCTCACACATTTGTAGCACTACGGTGTCTCAAAGCGGAGGATTTTTTCAAACTATTCCCAAATCTTTCACATTTGTTCACAAACTGGTATCTCCATTCTGTTTATACTCTGATAAAATATTGAGAGTCATTTCCTCACTCTTGGACTGCACATTGTGCTCACTTCTTCTGGATGATTTCCTAGTTGCCCTGGAAAGCCGCCTTCGAAAGGTATCACCTGCCAGAAAGTAAAGAATAGGGTCAACACAGCTGTTGAGGCTGGCCAGACCCCTCGTCACTTGGTAGGTGGCATAAACCTTGTCGTTGAAGGCACACATTTGTGGAGTCTGAAAATCCACTCTGGCTCTTAGATTTAAGGTCTTCATGACGTGGAAGGGAAGGTAAGACACAGCAAAGACTGTCAACACAATAATAACCAGGTAAATCGACTTTCTCCTGAGAGGAGAATTGTCCAAATCTTTGTAAATCAGAGCTTTCACAATGAGCCCGTAGCAACCAAGAATCAGTATGAATGGGATGCAGAACATAAACACCGTGGTGCACATGCTGTAAATGAAGTAACTTCTCAGGAAATCATCAGCTGTTGTGTCATAGCACGTAGTGGTTTTATTTTTCCTTATCCCCGTTCCCGAGTAGAACAGTATTGGAGAAATCACAGCCACCACAATGACCCAGACCAGGGTGCTGATGTACACTGCATTCTTCTTCTTCAGCCTCCCCAGCGACTTCAAGGGGTGCACCACTCCCGTGTACCTGTGCACGCTTATGCAAGTCAGAAACAAAATGCTGCCATACAGGTTCACGTGGAAGATGAACCTCTGCAGCTTGCACATAATATCTCCAAAGATCCAGTCTGTTTTATTGAAGTAGTAAAAGATGAGGGCAGGCAGAGTCAAGACATACAAAAAATCTGCCAGTGCCAAGTTGAACATGTAAACCGATATGCCACTCCAAGGCCTCATGTGGAAGACAAACATCCAGATGGCCACGCTGTTGCCCAAAAAACCAGTGATGAAGACCAGAATGTAGACAGTGGGCAGGTAATAGAACTGGAAGCCAGTTTTGGTCAGGGAACACTTGGTGGTGGCGTTTCCCGCAGACCAAAAAAATGGATAACAGGTTGGGTTCAGTTCCATTCAAAGCAGCAGAGAAGAGGACTTCGGTCATGATCCTTCTGCCTGAGTCACATAGGTCTGAGGTGAAGCAACAAAGTCTCTACAGGAACAGTACCGCAGCTAAAAGAGAAAAAAGCAAAGAAAGCCTAAACTGGAAGGTAAAACCTGACCTGCTTTTCTTCAGAGG